AAACAATTAAAATCAGTTGTAGTAGTTGTATTTTATTAGCATGGCTACAGAGATGCTGCTATCAATAATAAAAATAATAGTAATATCAGTGTATATATATACAGTAGTAAAATGTAACACACACATTAATACAGGATCCTAACGTTATTCATCCTCCTCTGGATGGTGCTGTGAACCCAGACACGTCGGCGTTTGGCTTTCCATTGTATTTGGGACTTTTTGACAACAGGTACAAAACAGCGACTGTAGTTATCTCCACCATGGTTGATCGCGCTGTTTTAATTCGCGCGAGTGACACGAAAAACATGCCGCGAGTAATCTAGAGTGAGTGGCGCGATGCGCATATTCGCTTCGCGTCTGGTGTGAACACACCATTAGACATGAAATATTCACTCAAAGTCGCCCTGAGATCTTAAGTCAATATTTCAATACTTTCACAACATATTTGTATGTTCACGGTTCTCTGAGGTTGCTTAATGTCACATGACATGCAGGTAAACAAATAACATATTTAATCTTTTAGTTTGATCTTTTTTATTTTAACATTTTAATACATAGAGCTGCACAACTTGGCCAAAATATTACATTGCAATTATTTTTTCATGTATGGTGATTTTGCAATATGACATTTCATCACATATGAAAAAGCCTAAAATTGTTGCTGCTGAAACCTCATTCAAGGTCTTTATTATGATGATGATGATGATTAGTTTTAGTTTTAACTAAAAAAAATGAAACCATAAATATTATTGCTGTAAATTACAGTTGTACTGTAAAATAAAAAACTAATATTTAATAATTATAAAATAATTTTTGTTTTACACTACAACCCTCGAGCATTGACCCTCGAAACTCCATTCGGGAAACCCTGCTGTAAATGACTGTCCTTCAGTAACGTCTGTGTCTGATAAGTAAATATCAGTATTTCATCTCATTTTATTTCTAAACTTTACAGATTTCCAATCTCCACCCAAACAAAAACAAAGTTAACAAGCATTTCCTGAAGGAAACAGAAGTGATGAAAACACCTCAAAATCTGTCTAGATTTAAACACAAAAAACTGGTCAAAACTCACAGAGACAAGAGCAAATCACCATTTAGTATGCAAATTAATACAAGAAAAAACACCAATCAAAATCAACCTGTCATCACTGAAGCTTTGATTCTGAATGCTGAACATCTCAGAAAATATGAGCCACACACACACACACACCAGAAACCACTGCAGCGTGTGTCAACATGTGTGTGTTTGATTATAACATGTAGCATTGAGATTCCAGAGGACTGTAATGGAAACACACACACACACACACAGCTTCCAGCAGATGAAATCAGACACACACACTGAAGTAATCTGACAGCAGGCAGGAAAAACTGAAGAGATGAAAGAGAAACGGTACATACAGTGATCAGGATGTTGTCATTACAACTTCCACCACAGGGCACACATACACACACACACACACACACACACACACACACACACACACACACGTGTTTAGTGATCTAAATGGAGAGATTGCATAGACTTCCGTTGTTTTTATATACAGGTAGTTATAAACACTATAAGCCAACACAAACCCTAACAGAAAACTTAACACAAAAAAAAACAATGTGGATTTACAAATGTGGATGTTCACAGAAGAAGATTTTTGGAGGTTTTGTGAGGTTTAGCAAATTTCTAGCAAACACGCACAA